GCCCGCCGCAGGCTCCTCCTCTGCAGCGCTGCCCGCCGCGGGCTGGGCTCTCCCGGGGCTTTGCCCTGCACGCGCCCAGCACCCCCAGGGCTGCCCCTGCCTCCCCGGGCTAGCCCCAGATCCCCTCCCCCAGGGGGCTGGGGTCCTGCTGCGGCTTGCGCCCCTCTGCCTCCTCCGCGGGGCAGGCAGCCCTGGGGGGTTGAGGCCGTGCAACCCCTTCCCCAGCTTCCCCCTCCAGCAGTCCCCGCACTGCCCTGCTGGGCCTGTTCAGCCCTCGGCCCCAGCAGGGGGCTAACCTGGGATGGGGATTGCGCCTGGCGTGCTCTGTGTTGGGGCGAGGCGGAGATGGAGGAGCGGGCGTTCAGCGGCCCCACCGGCCGGACTACCAGCTCCACGGAGCCGCCGCCTCCTCGAGGCCAAGCGAGGCCACGGAGACCCAGCGGGACCCCGTGCCCTCCCCAATCGGGGAAGAGACGGAGAGTCCCTCCCCTTCGGCCCGGACGGGAAGGTGAGTGACCGAGCGCACGTTGGGCGCTCGGCCCGGGGCCCAGTGCCCCATCCCCCTGCCCGATGCCCCCCGCAACACCTCATCTCGCCCGGTGCCCCCCAGGGCCCGCCAGGCGCCCACCAGGGCCCGCCAGGCGGATGGCACCAGGTCCTGCCCTCATGCAACCCGTCCCTACTGTGCAGATGAAGGGGGCGGCCCAGCCCGGGGGGAGCCGCAGCAAAGCCCCGCCCAGAGCTGGTGCAGGAGACCAGCGGGGCTCTCAGCCCAGGCTCCGACATCAGCCTGCAGCGGGGAGTGGAGCCACCCCCCGCGGGCTCAGCTCAGCCCAGCCCCGCTCTTAAAGGGACACGGACCCCACCGCGGCTCGGCCCGGCCCGGGGCATGGGGGGGTGTCAGGGTGCGTGCAGGGGGCTCCCGGGTGCCTGCAGGGCCCTAGCAATAGATGGGTCTGGAGGAGCCAGCCAAAGGGGGGGCGCGGAGCGGCCGGAGGAGGAGCCAAGGCGGGGGCACCTTTTTTATGTTTGCTCCCCCTGCTCTTAAAACCTGGCTACGCCACTGGTCAGGATCCTATATTGAGTCAGACAGGGGAGGACCCATCTCCTTCCTTCCCCAGCTGGGGACACTTCCTCTCCATGGTCCCGGCAAAGGTGCCCAGTGGGCCTGTCATAGGATGCACATAGACCAGGGTGGGCAAACTACGGCCTGCAGGCCAGATCCGGCCCGTCAGGGCTTGGGATCCGGGCCGTGGGTTGGCCAGCCCCATGGCGCAGTGGGGCTAAGACAAGCTCCCTGCCTGCCCTTGCCCCGCGCCGCAGCCGGAAGCGGCCGGCACCACGTCCCTGCGGCCCCCTGGGGGATGGGGTGGGGGCAGAGGTCTCCGTGCGCTGCCCTCACCTGCAGGCACCACCCCCTGCAGCTCTCATTGGCCAGGAACGGGGAACCGCGGCCAATGGGTGCTTCAGAGGAGGTACCCGCAGCCGAGGGCAGTGCGCGGAGCACTCTGCGCCGTCCGTCTGTCCCCCAGCAGCCCCAGGGACATGGTGCCGGCTGCTTCTGGGAGCGGCACGGGGCCAGGGCAGGCAGGGAGCCCGCCTTAGACCCGCTGCGCATCGCTGCCACCCCAGGGCTGCTCAAGGTAAGCGGCGCTGGGCCAGAGCCCCTCCTGCACCCCAACCCCTCCTGCACTCCAACCCCCTTCCCTGAGCTCCCTCCCTGCACCCCAACCCCCTGTCCTGAGCCCCCTCCTGCACGCCGCACCCCTCCTGCACCCCTCCCAACCCCCTGCCCCAGCCCTACATTCATGGCCCTGCTGCAATTCCCTCACCCAGATGTGGCCCTCGGGCCAAAAAGTTTGCCCACCCCTGACATAGACCTTTCTGACTGCAGAGGCAGCCAAGGTATCAGGGTGCCAGGGGATGTGCTCTGCTCTAGGGAAGGTGGCACCTAGGTGCTGACTCTCTTGCCCCAGGCTCTACTCCTGTGTCTGGTGAAGGTGAGCAGCTCCCTGCCCTGTACAAAGCCAACAGGTAACCAGACTCTTCCCACTCGCCTGGCTACATCCAACGCCATCCTCACTGAGCCGCACCCTGGGGGGGTTGCGGGCTCCCCACCGACCTTCCCGGGTCCCACCAGTGTGCTGTGGTCCTGCAGGTGTCTGCGTGGGGTGGGGTCCCTTCCCCTTCCCAGATGTCTGCCTCAGCCTGCCCCACTCCTCGCATCCTTTCCAGAGGCCTGTGTCATCTAACCACAATCTCATGTCTTATCGACACCCTTCCTTAGCTCTGGCTCCAGACTGGAACGCCCCATCTGCTCACGTTCCCTGGTGGGGCAGGAGGGGGCCCTTTGGGTTTGAACCCCTGGGTCTGATCCCAACCCTGGGGTTTTGGTTCTGGATCAGGTCTGGGAGCCTGTTTCCGGGGTCTGGGTTGGGTGGGAGGTGGAAATCACATCTTGGTTGAGTTCTGCACCAGCAGATCCAAACCTGAGCCGGCGCCATCCCCTCCGCTCAGCTCTGGATGGGATCCGTATTGTCCTAGAATCTATGTATATACCCCGGCAGCTAGGTACCAGTCGGCATCCAACCTGTGCAAGATGGCCACGTCGCATTTTAAACCCCCTTTATCCAGGCGTCCAGCCCCGAGACCCAGGTATGTCCCCTGCCTTTGCCACTCAGGTCGCTACACTCCCCCCCCCCCCTCCCTCCCAGCCAGGGGTCTCAGGCATGGCCTGGAGAAGCAGGAAATGTTACCTTCTCATGGAATGGTCCCCAGGAGAGAGCTGCTCCCTTAGGAAATCCCCAGCCAGAGGACCAGAGCCCCAGACCTAGGAGACGGCGTCTGCCCACGCTGACTCCAGGAGAGCGATTTAATCCCAGGGCTGGAGAAGAATCCAGGAGAGCGTGTCACTTCCCCTTGGTGGGTTTGTAATGACTCTGGTTTGGGGAAGTCGCTGATGCCGTCAGCTGTTTTGCTCCTTTCACCCTTTGCATATTTAGCAATATTTTGAATGCAGGGATCGGGATGGTACTGGGGGAAGTACCAGTGTGAAGGCCCTGGCAGGCGCCCAACCTCCCCTTGGCCAGAGCAGGGCTTGCACGGCTCCAGACTGGCCCCTCTGTGCCCAGAGGAGATTGAGCAGAGGCAGTTCCAGCCGCCAAGCTAGAGGGGTGGCGTATGAACTGGCCATGTGGCACATGCCAAATTTATTGTTCTTCCTAATGAACCTCATCACTATCTGAGCACCGCACACTTCAGTGGATTTATCCTTACAACCCCCCTGGGAGGTAGGGCAGTGCTGTTCCTCCCATTGTACAGGGGGGAAACTGAGGCACAGAGCAGGTAAGTGACTTGCCCAAGGTGTCACAGGAAATCTCCCCTAGCCACTGGACCATCCCTCGTCTCTGTCAGTGGCCCCTAGACACTGTTGTGGCTGCATTACACACACGTACCTCTCCTTAGATTCCATCATACGCACTTAGATGCAGTTATACATAACCCCTTGCACATCACTTCGGGATTGCTGTCCCATCTCTCAGCATGGCTGCAGCACCAGGAAAATACTAAACACTAACTCCGGGCTAAGGGAAGAGTGCTCAATATACACCTAGTCACTGCAATGCAAGGAGACTTTTTGGCAGGGCAAATTAGACATGGAGGTTAGACTAGATGACCCTTGCAGTCCCTTCTAACTCTATGGTATGATTCGGCATGGTGGGCTCTGTCAGAGATGAGCATGGCACGCCCAGCACAGGGTCAGATGCTTTGGTGGGAGGGGCGGGGGCTGATTCCCTGGGTCTATGGTCTTTCCTGGGGGGTAGCAGGTCACTCCATAGTACAGTGCTGTCTCTCTCCCATGGTCGGGGGCAGTTGTTTCTCCTTGCTCTTTGATGCACCTGTATTCCCCCTCCATGGTTCACCAAGGGCACCCACTTCCGGCTTCTGGTTCCCAGCCGGTACCTCTCTCGGATGGAGCCCCGCGTCTCCCTCCCTCCTGCCGGGGGATTTTAAAGCAGCACACCTCCCTCCTTATGCCATGATATCCCCAGCAAGCCAGACTGCCGCCTGCGCTTTGCTTTCTCTTTGAGGTTTATGCTCAGCGTATCGCCCACAACCCAACGGCTTCTAAGCAAGCCCATTCATTCTTAAGGGAAAAGCATCTCAGAGACAGCATATTGAAACGATAAACGAACCCACACGCGTGCCAGAAAGCTCCCCCAAGGTCACCCCCAAACGCAGCCTAGGGCTATAGCAGGTATTAGTCCTTCCAAACCTACACCTGGGTTTTCCCCATTCATCCGACTTGGGTCCGGACCCAGGGGAGAGACTGGGCAGATCAGCTGTTTCTTCATACAGCTCAGGTCTTTGGTCTTGGCCTTTGGTAACAGGTGATGGGCAGACAGTGACCATCTCCTCAGAGCGTAGCTTCTATAGGCTGGGTTTTTGCATACCTGGAGTAGGGGAATTGGCATTAACTTCTCCTGCGGGATTCCCTAGGAAGTCCACATACTACTGGACTCTATGGCTCCACTTCACTTCTAAATCCAGTGCGAATGGGGCGGGTGTCTGGGAAATCCCCCTTGTCAAGCCCCAAACGGGTAGCAAGTCACTTACAATGTCCTGGGCAGCTCCACTGCTTGGCGTCGGGTGTGAATCAAATCGGAGTCAGCAGACTTCACGGGCCAGGAGTGCTGAGCCAGCGTGGAAAGGAGAAGCTGAAAATCCAGAGTTAGGCTATTCATTTATTAAGCAATACTAAATGAAGCTGCGTCCCAGGACTGCAGAGGCCAGGAGCGATGCTGTCCCTGACTTTAGGATGGCAGTGTGGTCTAGTGGGCGGTGCCCGGGCTTGGCATTCAGAGCACCCAAGTTCCATTTTTGGTTCTGTTACTTTGATCTGCTCGGTGACCTTGCATAAATCTCTTAATTTGTCTCTGCCTGTGGTTCCCCGCCCGCTCTGCGTCTGTTTAGACTGTGATCTTTCTGGGGCAGGGGCTGTTCCTTATGCTGGGTTTGCACAACATCCAGTGCCAGAGGGGGAGGACGGTCTCAGTTGAGCTGCAGTCTCGCGTGATTGGCTTGCAAGATTTCAGGGCGGCTGGATCGGAACTTGATCCCTGTTCGTAATCTTCATTCTCCAGGGGCTCTCAGTCCTGAACCACAAACTACAGCCAGGCTGCAGCCAAATGCCCATCTCTACTGAGCAGCTCGGGAAGAGAGCTGGCTGAAACGCGAGGAGTTGGGGTCACCTGAAGTTCCACTATTTTCTTATTTGCTTTTGTCCCGATTCAGAAGAATAACGTCAATTTCACTTAGCAGCTCCCTGGCAAGGAGCCAGCCAGCTCCCACAGCCCCCCTGGAGCTGGGTCTCTCAGGGCTGCCCTAGCCACTCCCTGCTCCAGCTGGGCCTCTGAGGACTTGCAGAACGCTTGCCGGGGAGTCTAGCAGTCCTGCGGGTGTCTCTACCCCGCATTGTAAACCTGGGCTCAGATTTGAGCCTAACCCCCCAGAGCATCTACGCATGAATCTTTCTGAATCAGGTCTGCAAGCCCTCAGGACCCGGATCCTAGGATCCACCCGGAGGGCTGGGTCCAAGCCCAAGTTCTGGTGGGACCAAGGACCATCAAGACTTGGGTCCAAGCCCCGTCATTTTGCAGTGTGAATGCAGCTCAAGCCTGCTCGTGTCCAGAAAGTCCTCCAATGTCCCACAGTCCTCTGGGCCTGTGGATCTGAGCCCTTCTACCCCAAAACTTGCCATTTGATTCCCAGGAACCAGTCCAGAAGCAAGCCTACTTGGTTCAAATACAGCTGCTGTGCATTTAACTCTTCCTTTCCATGCTCACCTGAAAATCCACGGATCAGTTTCCTGTGCCAGCTATCCCCACGGACAGACAGATACCCGACCCTAATGCACTGCTACCTGGCCATAGGAACACAGCCAAATTCTGGTAAATTGGAGTGCGAGACTGTTAGGGGGTTTATTCCTTCACCCTCTCACTTCCCTGGTCCTTCTCACAT